CAGTAGAAGGTTCAGCAGGATTGCTTACAAGATTGTCAATTGGTGGTATTTGGTCTCGTGAGAACATTGTTATAAAATCCAGTATAAGTGAATTTGCTGAAGAATCTATATTATGTCTTTCAAACTACATGTATTCGCCGCCGAAGCATTATAGTATAACAAACTTTGTCAGTAAGTTTAACATAAGACTTGTTGAACCTTCTTCAATGAAAGATGTTGTGCTACCTAAAGATGGAAAGGATGGACTCATTATTGAGATGATTTTAATAGCATATTAAATGAGCTTGTTTTTAAAGGTCATTCATGATGAAATAACTGTTGTAGAAGATGTTAGCAATTGTTCAGACATTTTGAAGCGTATAGATGAGATAAGAAAGAAGTTTATGAATGAGAATGTTTATGTTTCATTGACTTTCTCCAGTAAAGAGAACTTTTATGAGATAATATTGAAGAGAGATGATTTTAATATGGTGTAAATGGTAGCTTGGGCAGCTTTAGGCGCAATGGGAACAAAAGCATTAGCATTTGGAGCAAAAGCACTTGGGGCTTATGACGCAGTAAATAAAATGAGTGGAGGAAGGGTTTCGAAGACATTAGATGCAAATAAAGGGAAGATTGGAGGCTGGGTTGCAAAGAAGTTAAGATTAAATAAAATAGGGCTCATAAATAAAGCATCCAATTTGGTTGCGACTGAGTCAGAAAATGCTTTAGGAAAGGACGATGAGTTTGCAAAACACGCAAAAGACTTTAATGACCAGATGAAAGGTGAAACAATGCATTTAAATAGAGTCGATGGAACTAAAGAAAATGTTTCTTCTCCACAACTTCCACCAGCAGTTCTTCCGTATGGTCCCTATGGAATGTATGGAAACCCTTACGAAAGACCATTTGACCCATTGACTGGTGGAAGTAACTGGTATCATTACGGACGAAGAAGAAAGGCAGTCAAGTTGGAGACAGACGTGAAGAAAGCAACTAAAAAGAAACCAAGGAAGAGAGTTATAAAGCAATGAATTCAACAGGTTAGAAATGAGGTTAGAAAACGTGTTAGATCTAACATTCTAACATAAACATTATTTTTGTGCTATGTTTTCATACGTGTGAGGGTGGTGATATCATTTATTTTTAAGTTTATTTTTATATTTTATTTTTATTTTATTTGGATGTAAATGACAGAACAAAAGCAACTCATACAAATCAAAACATATAACAAACATACATTTAAACATTTATTCTTCCTTCCTGAGCATAACATGTTCTTTCAAATACATCCGAGACCAGTTGACTTTTCATTGACTGTGTATAAAGATAGAAATAGTTATATCATTAAACCATACGATGACGAAGGTAAGTTATGTAAATTGTACGTTAAGAAGTTAGAGAAAGTTTATGGCTTCAAGTATGACTACAATAGGGTTAACACTGATGATGAAGATATTGAGGAAAATTTATGAGAACATTAGTGAAGTCGTTAATGAGAATGATAGTGAGAACGTTTATTTTTACATTAGTGAGCTCGTTAGTGAAGTGAAGTGAGTGGCTTTGTAAATATTTAAGGTTAAGTTAGTGTTGTCGTTTGATTTGTAAAATATACGTTAACGGTTTTGTAAATATTTAAAGTTATGTTGGGTAAGGTTATGTTGAGTAAGGTGGAACGCAGTGCCGCCGTACCCAACATAACCATACTAACTGGAGTTGCTCGACACAGATTCAACAGCATCTCAATACTTTAACAGACAATGGCGTTACAACATATCAAGATGGATTGCTCGTGACAGGCGTGAAGGCGACGCAACTAACAATATTGCCGAAGCTCATTTTAGAACACTCAAACATGACTATTTTCCTGATCGAAAAAATCTCAGAATTGATGATGTTATTATAGAAATTTATACAAAAGTGATACCATCTTTCGTTATCAAACTCAAAATTGATCAAAATCCAGCAGATGACCGTGTTATTAGGATCATGGAAAAAGCAACTAACGCAGAAATTGATGTAAAAAGACAAAGAAAAATCGAGAGTATTTCAATGCTCAATAGATTCCTCAATGCTGTTAGTGATGACTCAATAGATCCCACTAAAATATATCCTACCTTGAAAGTATTATTACAAAGAACTCATTTTATTTAATTTTGATTTTAATTTTAGATTAAATTATTAAATTTTAATTCTTTATTTTTTAGGATTGTTAGCTTTGTAAGATTGCTTTCTCACAAGAGAAAACAAGTATAAGGTTTAAGCTGTATGTATTAAAGTTATAAATATTTGATTTTAAAAAAAATCAAGATTTTAAACTTTAAAGGTATTAATTATGATTATCTTTCTTTAGCTTTGCATGCTGTATGCTACTTTCGGAAACTGCTCTATTGTATTAGAATGTTTTTAAATTTTGCACCTAAAAATGCGTAATATTAAAAATTAAGGTATTAATTATGATTATCTTTCTTTAGCTTTGCATGCTGTATGCTACTTTCGGAAACTGCTCTATTGTATTAGAATGTTTTTAAATTTGGCACCTAAAAATGCGTAATATTAAAAATTAAGGTATTAATTATGATTATCTTTCTTTAGCTTTGCATGCTGTATGCTACTTTCGGAAACTGCTCTATTGTATTAGAATGTTTTTAAATTTGGCACCTAAAAATGCGTAATATTAAAAATTAAGGTATTAATTATGATTATCTTTCTTTAGCTTTACATGCTGTATGCTACTTTTGGAAACTGCTCTATTGTATTAGAATGTTTTTAAATTTTGCACCTAAAAATGCGTAATATTAAAAATTAAGGTATTAATTATGATTATCTTTCTTTAGCTTTACATGCTGTATGCTACTTTTGTCTTTGAGACATTCCATGATTTAAGTTAAGAAGCTTTAAAAAAAAAGCAAAAAAAAAAGTGTAATAAAATAAAAAAATTTTTAGTATCGATAATCTGAAATATGTTGTTTACTTAAGCCGCGAGCGAAGCGAGTGGCTTAGTTTCGTAGTTTCGTACAATCTTTTTTCGAATCTGTTCTTTTCTTAAGCCGCGAGCGAAGCGAGTGGCTTAGTTTCGTAGTTTCGTACAATCTTTTTTCGAATCTGTTCTTTTCTTAAGCCGCGAGCGAAGCGAGTGGCTTAGTTTCGTAGTTTCGTACAATCTTTTTTCGAATCTGTTCTTTTCTTAAGCCGCGAGCGAAGCGAGTGGCTTAGTTTCGTAGTTTCGTACAATCTTTTTTCGAATCTGTTCTTTTCTTAAGCCGCGAGCGAAGCGAGTGGCTTAGTTTCGTAGTTTCGTACAATCTTTTTTCGAATCTGTTCTTTTCTTAAGCCGCGAGCGAAGCGAGTGGCTTAGTTTCGTAGTTTCGTACAATCTTTTTTCGAATCTGTTCTTTTCTTAAGCCGCGAGCGAAGCGAGTGGCTTAGTTTCGTAGTTTTATTTTTTTAAATTTTTTTTTCTTTCTTACTTTTTTTTTCCCTTACTTACAAATTTGATAGTAACTTACCAAATCTCTCTATCATATAATAATAAATTAATCCATTTTTTGTTTCAAATCTAACACTTTACATTTATGACATGTAAACCTGTCACTTTTCACTTCACCCCACTGGGCAAGTTTGTGCCCCCCTCTTTTTTGATAACAAGAAAATTCCCAACAGAAAATATTTGAGACAAAGAAAAAAAGAAAATTGAAAAATATTACTCTCCTTTACATTTCATGAGATTTTCAATTTATTTTCATAAAATTGACAATTTTATACGTTTAGATGAAAATAAGTGATTTTGCTTGAAATAAAAATGATTGTTTGTTTACAGCTATCAAATAGATTTTTGCTATTTTGATTAAAATTTGTTAATCAAATTAATAATTTTTTTCTAAATATCTTAAATATCTGGATCACTCACTGATACGATGAATTAAACGATAAAAATAATACAAACTCAACTAAGTTTCCTGTCTTTCAACCAAAAAATATTATGCAATTTAAATTAAATTGTTTATTCAAAGATAAAACAAAGATAAAGTAATTATAATTATCATATACTTTATGAATAACTCTCTAATTGGATAAGATTTTCGTACAAATATTTTTATTAATATCGATAAGAATATGTTTACCTACTATCACCATATGTCGATAAACGAGAGTAGAGTGATTTTTATCATCGAAACTTTTTAAAAGCTGTAAGCAGGAAGTAATAATCTTGTTTTTTCTGAGTTAGTTGTAGAACTATTGATGCCCGAGTTATCATTGTGATGCAGAAGGATATCAATGTACTGACTGAAGGATATGAATTGAATTTTATTGAATTTCAATTTGATCAAAATTTGTTGAAATGATATGAATGTGTCAACTTCTGTATCATTCTCCTTCACTCCTTCCTTATTCTTTCGAGAACGAAGCTAGCTCAGCTTTCGCTGAGCGAATTGACACTTTCATGCCCTAAACGTATATGCTCTCAAATTTATCGAAAAAAATTATACCACCTAAACTAGTATATTCTTATTTTAAATATGATATTATCCTTATATTCCACACTAAAATTCATTTAAATCAACTTTTAAAAAAAGTTCGAATCCTGCGCGTCTCACTTTTTAAATTTTCCAAATGGAAAATTATATTCTCCTAAAGTGAAAACAATTTTCCAAATTGACTTCCTTATGTACTGTGTTGTTTTTTCAATGCAATAAATAGTATACAGATGCTTATCTATAAAAATTTTGATAATTCGTTAAAAATAAAATACCAACTCGTTCTTGGTTCTTAAGATATGAGATATATTGTATTCCTGAGTTAATATCTTTATGTCTGTATTCTTTGTAGATTATATCTTTGTTATTCATCTCTATATTGATGCTGGATTTATTAGATTTGGTCATCAGCCCGTATTTCATGCCAAAATAATCATAATATAGAGGTATCCTAGATATTCTATATTATGATATGACAGCATATCAGCAAAGTTTATGAAAAAATTAAATTAAAAAAATATTGATAATATACTCTACAAATATTTAGACAATAGCAGAAGCTCCGAAAAGCTTGTTCTTAGCATTGTTCAATTCAGCATCTGTGATAACCAATTGGCGCTTTAATTCGAAGAAAACTTTTAGTGTAACAAAAGCATCAGAACCAGCCTGGTGTTCACGGCCAACTCTACTAACACCTAATTGATTAGCAATTTTCTGAAGACCATCTGCAATTTCGGTTCTGGGATATGTATAATATTTAATGTCATAAAAGTTAGGAAAATATAGTTCTAATACCTTGAAGAATGCAGCGCAGGTTTCAGGTAGTGGCTTTGCTGTTAATACTTTGATCAAATATCCAAAATCTGTTATACTATGAAATGATACCCATGTAATTCCTGGATTCATTACTAAACCACTAGGAATTAGTAATCTAGCAAATTCGTAAACGTCAATACCATCATTATTGAATCTCTTAAAATCTATACCGGATTGCTGGAGTAAAACAATAGACCTATGGAAATGTGGATCTCTTTTCTCATCAAACTTAAAGTTAAATTGCCAAGTACAGCAAGGAGTTGGATAAAATCCTTCTTTATCACCTAAAGTAATACCAATTTGAATAATTTTAAGTAAATCTACGTTGCATCTTGTTGTTTGATATTCTAGTTCTTGTGTGGATTTGAATGAACCAACTGGTTTAACGATAACGCCTGGGAATTCTGTATCCATTGCAATATATGGGTAATCTTCTATTAGATCTGATATGATTTTTAATTCTTGTTCTAAATTAGAAGCCCAAACATCGCGTATAATTCTATCATCCATTTTTAGAAAAAAAAACTAGGAAGGGTCTGTTTTACAAAAATTTGGGGGATAACATTTTTTAGAAATTTTTACAAATGTCGATGAATATTAATGATATAACAGCTAAAATTGATATCATCAAGCAGTTAATGGTTGAGACAGATCTATACAACACAAATTCCATAAAACCAAACAAAGAAAAACTCGATGTTATAAAAAAGCAAATCGATGATCTAGATGAAAAGGTAACACTTGTTCAGGAAACTGATGGTTCCATTCCTGAAGAAATCCTCGAGCAAATTAGGCATATTCACGATGATTTTACATTACTAGCTGGTACCGGATCAGATGAATCAAGTGATGAGCAGATAGAACGCCAAGAAATCAATATAGATATACCAGAAGATGCAAAAAGTACAGGATCTTCAATTATCGAATCAAAAGATAGCGATACAGATACGCCAGAGCCAAAAACAACACAACGAGACTTTCTACAGTCATTAATTATAGCAATTCTCTTTTGTATTGTCTTTGCATTAATGTGGTCTTATCTTGTTTAAATTTTTAGCATAGAATCACACCGCTGCGATTGTGTTTGCATCATAACTGAAAAATATTCTGTATATGTACTTAAAATCTCTAATATTGTTTATTAATAAAATGTTGTATATTATATTTTTCTTTTTTAATCAGCTGGCTATATCAAAATTGTATACAAAACCTTGTGTTAAAGATAGTTTTATGTAAAAAAGATGATTGACTTATATCTAATATCTATAACAAAAATTTACAAACAAAAAACAAATATAACAAAAATATCAATGTTATTTCTTTGAAATATCTCTATTTCCTATTATACTATTTTGGTTTTCTATACATGGCTCTAAAATTGTGCATTTCTTCTTTCATTTTATCTTTGAGAAATGCATTAGCTTGGGATAGTTCACTATCTCGTTTCCTTCTTCTTTCGGCGTATATATTTTGCTCCATTTTGGCAAACTCTAAAATACTTGAATTTGAAACTGAAAGTTCTGAAGATTCTCCTTGATCTTCCTCATCCTCTTCATCTTCTTCTTCAACTAACGTAACTCTTGGTATATGCTTTGGTTCAGGGCTGCTCAATGGTGTAGAAGAAGGAGAATTTACATAATAAATTAAAAAGGCATCATTCCAATCTGAAGAAGCAGACATCATATGTCTGAACTCAGAATCGTATTCTCTTCTCATTGCTGATAAAAATGTAGAAATTCTTGTTGTTTCTTGCAACATTTCTTGAGTTAAACCTCTTACTTCAGTAAATGCTGCAGCTGCTACGGATGATTCACTATCAAGAGTAGAGTTATCATTTTCGTCATCAAGAAGACTCGTTTTATTTCTCATTTGTTGTATTTTTTCTTGACGTTTTTTAACATCGGCCAATTCCATTTCAAGAGTTGCCATATTAACTTCGCAATCAAGTCGCTTCGATTTAAGTGATTCAAGATTTGAAAATGATGGATAATATCTTGGATGATTTCTTGAAATCGAATCTGTAACAACATTTGATAATTCGCGCTGTTTTTGATCTATTTGATCAATAACCTTTTGTCCGCTGGAAATAAATGAATGACAATTGAGAATTGGTTTTGTATCGTAATTTTGGTATTTTATCTGATTAATATTTGTCATTTGAGCGTGGAATTGAGATATTGAAGATTCAATATCTATATCTTGTAGTTGATTTTGCGTATACACGATTTCAGCTTTTATATCATCTTTCAAAGATGACATAAAAGGATCAATTATACGAGTATAATCATTTGATTTTTCTACAATTTGTGTTATTTCATAAAGAATGTCAATCTTCGCTGAACTTAAAGCTGAATTTAAATAATTTTCAACATTTTGTGTGAGTTGGTTTAGAGAATTTGTAAGTTTTGGACTAGATAATGCTTTTGGAGATGTGTCTGGTGAACTAGCATTCAGAGAAAGCTTTGGTGTAATAAGTCCTTCTTCTTGAACTGGTAAGTCGTTTAGTAATGCATCTAAGTCTATCTTTTTTTGAAATTGAGGTCGTCTTCTCTTTGAATTTGTTGTTGGAGTTTTTGTGATAGTATTTTTCGATGGTTTTGATTTTGGAGATTGAGGTTGTGAAGGGAGAGCAGATTTTATATCACCGGTAAAGCTATTGTCTACAAGGAGAGCATCTAGGTCATCAATATTCATGCTAGTATCTCCTTGCATTGTAGTTAAATTAATTCAAATTATAAAAATTTGATTCCGTTTTTTATTTGAACAATCAATAAATTTATATAATTTTTGATAAATTTTAAATTTATCATTAAAAATCGACCTAAATCTTCAAAATCAAATTGCTCATTGAATAAGGTATCGATAAATTCCATTTTATAATATAAAAATTAATATTAAATATTTGGAAAACTATATTATATAATTAATACTTCTTAAATTTAGGTATTTGATCTAAATATCAACTTTTTATCTAAAATGATTGTTAACACTTCAAAATCTAAAAGTCATTTATGAAGCAAATGGATTTGTTATATTTAAATAAAACTCTAAAGAAAATTTTTATTTAAAATGATTATTTAAACTTCAAAATCTAAAATTTATTCATATAGCATGTGGATTGGTTAAAATTCAATTAGTTTAAATATACTCTAAAGAAATTTTTTATTTAATCAAACAATTTAGTAAGGTTTAATATAGCAGTTAAAATCAAGTTGACAGGGAGGATCAAGAATGATGTCCAGTAAAGTGTGTAAGAAATAATAGAATCACCGAACATCAAATTCTGAGACAATTGGTAGCCATAAATAGATGTTGGAGCAATGTTTGCGAATAACAAATACTTTGTGATATTCTTGTCTTGCTTGAGCAATACAGAGAATGCTCCAGACAAAACTGGAGAAATGCAAAAGTGACAAATAATAGAAAAGATCAAATCTAAGACTGGAGCACCTTTGAAAGGATGGTACCACATAACTACACCATTGCAGAACAATCCTGCCGCATATGTACCCATTTCAAGTCTTCCTATGTAAGTATCTAAGAATTCTGGGAATGTTTTTCCAATTGCACTCCAAATGATGCCGAGGAGGGCAAATATTGTAAATTGATTGACGAATGAGAAGAATATTAGGATCTTTCGTGAGTATTTTGGCTTCTTGACTTCAGGAGTTCCTAATAAAGGTTCTGGATTAAGAATTTGAGCTGTTCCTGATGTCGATGCACTGAATTCGCTTGGTTCATCTGGTTTTTTAACACTAGATTTCTCTGTATCGTCTATTTGTCTTCCTTTTGTAGAGGCCAACTTCAATACACCGTTTTCGACAAAATAAAGAGCTAAAATCTGATGGAATGGGATAACTATAAGGAAATGTACAAGTGTTGCGAGTGATGCATAGATTGTAAAGCCAGGTGGAAACATTAAGGATGAAAGAGGATACGCGTAATAGATATGATCTGTTTCACAGACTGCAATTGACATTTTAATGAATTTAACACTGATTTTTCGTCTTTATGGAAAATTAACGAATAAACAAAAGTTAAAATATGCAAACAAACTTGAATTATGATAGCGTGGAAGAAGCTCATCCATGTTTTGAGTGAAAATTTACTGATTGCAATTTCTCGAAGTAGCATTGCAGCCATTGGAACAAGATAAATTAGTCTTCTAATATCATATATGTCTTTTTGAGAAAACTTATTCAGCCATCCAAGAATAAAACAAGCAATGATAAATGTGTAAGGAGCAGCTAATGTTTGAAAGCTTTCCAGCCAGTCGAACATATGAAATGGTTTTAACCTCACAAAAAAAATTCAATAGTGTTTCTAATTCAAATAAAAATCATTAGATAACTTGTGAGATGAAATTATTTTTTAAAAAATTTCGCCCCGTGAAATTTTCAGAAGTGTAAAATATTGAAAAGATAATAGCCTGCCGATCAATATTGAATCATCTGATTTGCCCTCTTTCTTGTTATATTTGTTTGTTGTACCATTGTCTTTCATATTAACATTCATTGATTTCTTATCAAAATTGTTAAACCATCAAAACTATCATTACAATGGGGTTATTTTATGATAGGTAAAGAGTATAGGATCTAAAGCACTGGTGAGTCGATTATGGTACTTGAATTATGTTATATAATGCGATATATTTTAATCTGATTTTACATTGAAGTTTTTTTATTATGACGTGTTTCATTGAATTTTTGAATAAAATTGAAAGCTATCTCGGATCAGAAAATAAAGAAATAGTTTGTCGCATTATCTTTCATATATTATTCATTATAATCGATATAGGCTTAATTATACATGATTTGACTATGTGAACGCAAAATCTAATGCTTATTACATTGTGATACTGAGTTTTAGTTGAAAAATTAGTTGAAAGCAATATTACCTATTGGTTGCTATGATTTCTAGTAATAATTAAGAGTTAATAGCTTAAATAAGAATATAAATATCATATTATTTCAATTGCTTAGCAAAGTTTCTTATTGGACAAAAAAGTGACACCAAATCACACTTGTTTGTTGGATCTTACCATTCCAGATAAATATAGCAACTTGATTTTATGAAATTAGATAGATATATATGTGTACTTTTATCCCGTGTTGTTTTCTCGAAAACCTAATATCCTATGGGGATGCTGATTTTGAGCTTGTGTAAAAGTCAAGTGTCAATTATATGTCAATATTCTACCATATGTGGTGCTGATATTTCAATATGTGTCTTTGTTCAAATTAAAAGTTTGAGATGAAATCAGCCTTATTTTATTTTGATGTGGTATTATTTTTTGTTCTCTATGATGCATTATAATAACATATTAGGAATAAATGCCAACTATTGATTTTCTTGAGAGTTTGGCACAAATCACGTCAAAAGATTATTGATGTCTGGCACAATCATGAGTTATGCTTTTTTTTGGCTTGTGGAGGTATTTTGCCTAATGGTTAGAACAGAATGGCTATGTGTTGTCGATAATCATAAATAATTTATTTGGCGCTATATTGTTTATCTAATTTGCAAATATATATTCAGGGGTTAAGACGGTTTCTAGGAATAATGCACATAATGAGAAGGCTAGAAGTCGTGATTTTTTGGCGTATTACAAAAAAATCCTATAAAGAATCATATTTGAGCCATATTTTTAAATGCAATGATATAGTTATGGAATTTATATCCAGGATATATAAAGTAATATGAAATTGAGACTGAATAAAAAAAAATATAAAAAAAAATTAAAGGAAATTAAGTAAAAATATGTTTGATATTTATCAAATATAGGTAGAAAATGTGGTGGTACATTTATTATCAAAAAATAGGGTTAAAATTTTTGAATAAAAAAAATATTCGATTAGAACAAATTATAAAGTGAAAATATAAATCTTACTTAAGAAGAATAATGATTGGTGATATAAAATGCTAAATTTTAATAGAAGCAAAATAAAAAATAAGCGATCTTATATTATTATTAAGAAAACAAACAATAATCTTTTGGGCATAATGGGATGGTCTGTATGCCAGGATTAAATGGAGTGAGTTCGAATTAGGACAGTATTTTTATTTGATTTTCGCATTTGATACTCATAATATTAAAATGGGATAAATTTAATGATATATTTATAAGGTAGATTTCAAATATATAAATATCAAAGAAAATGACAAACTTTTTTCTTAAATTTTTTTGTTTTAACAATAAATTACTCAATTTCGATCAAACAAATGGTTTTATTTGTCTTAATATTCAAATATATATGAATGCCGATAATGTGGTCGAGATGAACGGTTAGAGGCGGTTTAAAAATGTATGGCCTGCTAGCAAGATGTTACAGCTTGAAGCCGGTTGGGTTTCGAATCTTCGCCTCCTGAGATCTCACGAAGATCGCCCAATTCAGAAAAACGCCTCCCCTTGGTGCGCTTGAGCTGCCTGCATAGTTAGCAGATCATTTTGTTTTTTGCTTTAGGTTGTTAGTGAGCTTTAAATTGTTAGATCATTGATGCAATGAGTATGAAAATATTCATGCATGAGACAAGAACTTTCTTAATTTGAAAGTAGTATGCAGGAATAGATCGAACAATTTAATAAATTAGAGGGATCCACCTATAAAGTTCTAATGTTGGAAGTGATTCCCATTGGATTAATCGCAAAATGGGGTACTGGTCCGGAATTGGGTTCAGATAGCGGTATTTTGACCGACAAGAGTGTAATATGCACTCTTGTCGGTCACAATGTGTCATTCCGGGAGACATTTCCACTGCATGTCCCCCAGATTGGCACGCTGTTCCGCATTCATAACTTGAATGCGGAACTTTGACCGACAAGAGTGCATATTACACTCTTGTCGGTCACAATGTGTCATTCCGGGAGACATTTCCACTGCATGTCTCCCAGAATGAGACAATTTGTTGCAATCAGAATGTGATTGCAAAAGTTTGACCGACAAGAGTGCATATTACACTATTCTCGGTCACAATGTGTCATTCCGGGAGACATTTCCACTGCATGTCTCCCAGAATGAGACAATTTGTTGCAATCAGAATGTGATTGCAAAAGTTTGACCGACAAGAGTGTAATATGCACTCTTGTTTTAATAAATTTTAATTACCATATAAGTATCTTTACATACAATCTTTACATTATATTTTTTCCTAATTAATATTTATTTCATATTTTTTTGTGCTTTATCTAACTTATAGCATGTACTGAACTATTTTACAGACTCTACTGAGCTATCTCAACATATAAACCAGTGAAAAAAAACACATATATACTCACTTCATATTCTGATCTCATGCCATATTATCGCAAAAACTATATTTATACACCACACCTCATAAAACATCATTTTAGCCCTATCTAAGCGTTCAAAACCTATTTTTCCCGCGTAATCTGATTCTTCAGGATCCGCTGATTCGATTTCTGCCGTCAGATCGCGAAAATATGCATTACATAACAAGATATACACAAATTACTAAACTTAATATTTTCCTTAAAATTGCTATTCCTTGAATTTAACAACATAATTTTTCAAAATCCAATTTTTTCAAAAAATGTATGCATTCAAAAGTTCAGATTATATCTAGTCATTATCCATTATTAATTTTGAATTTGATTTTTTGAGATATTCATTTTATTATACGTATTACTCAGAAAATTAAATGTATTTGTGAGAGAAAACGGAGAAGATAATAAATATTGTCATATAGAGGAATAGCAATTTTAAGGAAAATATTAAGTTTAGTAATTTGTGTATATCTTGTTATGTAATGCATATTTTCGCGATCTGACGGCAGAAATCGAATCAGCGGATCCTGAAGAATCAGATTACGCGGGAAAAATAGGTTTTGAACGCTTAGATAGGGCTAAAATGATGTTTTATGAGGTGTGGTGTATAAATATAGTTTTTGCGATAATATGGCATGAGATCAGAATATGAAGTGAGTATATATGTGTTTTTTTTCACTGGTTTATATGTTGAGATAGCTCAGTAGAGTCTGTAAAATAGTTCAGTACATGCTATAAGTTAGATAAAGCACAAAAAAATATGAAATAAATATTAATTAGGAAAAAATATAATGTAAAGATTGTATGTAAAGATACTTATATGGTAATTAAAATTTATTAAAACAAGAGTGCATATTACACTCTTGTCGGTCAAACTTTTGCAATCACATTCTGATTGCAACAAATTGTCTCATTCTGGGAGACATGCAGTGGAAATGTCTCCCGGAATGACACATTGTGACCGAAAGTGTAATATTACACTCTTGTCGGTCAAACTTTTGCAATCACATTCTGATTGCAACAAATTGTCTCATTCTGGGAGACATGCAGTGGAAATGTCTCCCGGAATGACACATTGTGACCGACAAGAGTGTAATATGCACTCTTGTCGGTCAAACTTTTGCAATCACATTCTGATTGCAACAAATTGTCTCATTCTGGGAGACATGCAGTGGAAATGTCTCCCGGAATGACACATTGTGACCGACAAGAGTGTATATTACACTCTTGTCGGTCAAAGTTTTGCATTCACATTCTGAATGCAACAAATTGTGTCATTCTGGGGGACATGCAGTGGAAATGTCTCCCGGAATGACACATTGTGACCGACAAGAGTGCATATTACACTCTTGTCGGTCAAAGTTCCGCATTCAAGTTATGAATGCGGAACAGCGTGCCAATCTGGGGGACATGCAGTGGAAATGTCTCCCGGAATGACACATTGTGACCGACAAGAGTGCATATTACACTCTTGTCGGTCAAACTTTTGCAATCACATTCTCATTATACAATCTCTTTATTTTCTTGTCTGTCCATACATATAATTAGTATATAAACAATATCCCTTAATCAAAAATTCATTAAACACAAATTTACCATATGATTTGTATTTATCTTTAAAAATCTTAATATTTTCATTAATTATTGAATTCTACATCTATTTAGTTTATAAAAACACTCAATGTTATACAATCATATTAGTTTATATCATTTATCATCAGTTTTCATTTTACGCATGTAGTTTTTAAATCTCTATCAATTTTGAAATGAAGAATATATTCACAATTATATGCAGTGTCAATAGACATCTTGTTGCCTATGAAATTAACAATTTTTTTTCAAATTATATTGATATTCTTCAAATTGTGAATTTGTTACATTTAATTACAAATATTGTCTTCTCCTTTATTTTGCATTTGACTTACATTAATAACCAAGCTTAATTTTAACAATTGATACCCAATTCAAAATGTCTTTCCAAAATTAGCCGAATTTCAAAAATTGACATGATTCCACATTCTACATCAATTGGAATTAAGAATATTCCAAATTAAATAAAAAATATCAATCTTTTCAAAATTTATAATATTATCTTTTTTTAAACTGTTATTATATCATTATCATTCATAGTCTGACTTATCAAAATGAATTTCAATTCATATTGTTCAAATAAAGCATTACTTTGAAAGTTTGAATCATTACTCCGACATATTTTCCTATATAGTAAAATCACAACCGAGATTGATATATGCATAACATTTCTAACCATTTGCATGTAGATATGTGAAATTTTAACTCTAATTTTAAAATATTATAATTTTTTTTATATATCATGTCATTATGTATAAATCAATTCACCGGATCATATATATTAATATATCTGTAATTGAATAGACTAGGCCAATTACATTAGTTTGATATCTTGATAACTTTTTAGATTTAGATTTCAACCTCAGCAATATATACTACTATGTACCAGTAATATAATGTTATAATAATGGGTTTGGATCTTCATGTAGTGTGGTTTTACAAGCAAAATAAATTTCGTCTAATTGCACTATGAATGTCATTAGTAGACTACTAAAATCATATGGTAGATTCTCTAGTGCCTACATAAGTATATGGTATATGTCACAAAGAATGTCTCCAATCAGGGAGCTGTATTAATGAGCTTTTATAAAAATTTACGGGCGTGTCGGATTCCAATAACAAAAACTTTAGGGTATAACAAGGAAAACTTAAAATTAACAGGACTATTTAACAAATAGAACAGGCATACTAGTAGGATTCACCGAGATATTATATCATTGCAACTTAGAATTCCCCATATCATATTAATATTGAACGAAAGGATAGTCATGAGTTGAAGATAATGTAGCGTATTGAATTTTATCGAACAATGGACAAATACCTAATGTCTCTATCGGAGATAATGCATCTGGTTTGGATGGAGGTGAAGAAGGTGCTTTAAGAATTAACGATTGTTTCGGTTGCACGGAAATGCTTTTAGCCATCTCTCGATAACGCATACGCTCAGATTCTGGTAAACCTTTCCATTGTTCTGATATAACTTTAGAAATGTCGAGAGGTGAAAAGAAAGGGCACGCCTTATGAATCTTATGTCTTATTTCTTTGCTGAAGATAAAAAATCCCGTTGCATTCTTTTTATTTTTGCTATTGGAAGCGGAAATTGATTCCATTAAAAAAATATTAGTTTGTTAGCCAACCTCCAGCATTAAGAAATTTTGAATGTATCTATATTTTGAATGGACTGCAAAGTTATGTAGATAAATATGATAATGTAATTGACACAATAGCTTAATAGATCAAATTATTTAATGTTATTTGGTAAATTGAATTTTTGAGTGTTTTATTTAAATTGATATATATGAAAACTCTGAATAAAATGATTATTTAATGGAAGTAGAAAAATAATAAAAATATTATTGAATTTGCCTAATTCAATCCATAAAAATTGTAAAATATCAAAAATAATTGGGATTGATAGCTGTTCAAAATTTTATAAAAGTGACTCTATAAAAATTCAAAATATTGAATGATAATAGATAACGTAGTTGTAATGAAAAAGACTGATAATTTTTAATATATATTTTATTATCATTACATTATTTCGATGATTGCGTTAAACGTTCTATTTTGAATTATTTTGTGAGATTTGTGAAGAAATATTGCTAAAGAATTTCTGGATTAATAAATATCGTTTATGGCAACATTTAAAAGCATATGTCTCGATTATTTTTTGATAGTATCTTTTATACCTTTCAAAATATGCTTTTGAATTTTGGCTGTCAAAATATTCAAATAATCGTGATCGACAAATGGCGAAAATTGTTTAGTGCATGTTATATTTTATTTAGCACTGATATCTGAAGATGTTTTTCAGGTTTAATTTACATTTCAGTAAAATTATAAAATTCAAAATAAGAAAAATAAAGAAAGTATTAAAAATCAAAAAATACGATAATTCTATGTTTAACTTAAATGAAAATGCAAATAGGATTTATCATCTAAATTATGTACTTATTTTAGTAGCAAATGCTAATTTTTTGTTCAAAATTGAATTTAAGTTATCTTCCATGAAGAATGTAAAAATTGAGATTCTAGAGATAACTCCTAATTAATAATATCACATGCTAATTGATTCATTTTGGTACAATTTATTAAACTCTTTTTAAAATTGTATATAATTGATTTCGATTTATATCTTGCAAATTATCATGGCATTCTTGTTTTGATATCATCATTTCAGCAAGGACAGTCTATATATGAAGTTTCCACTTGAAACGTTTATCTCTACGATTCATTTTCTCAAGAATAAGTGTAAACAAAGTTTTGAGAATAGTTTTGAGACTCATGAATTTTTTTAAAAGCACTCATCGAAAATAGATTCTTAAAATGTTATATAGATTAAATATTTTTAATAAAAACACTATATTAAAATTTCAAAATAGCCTGAGTGGTTTTATTTAAAATATTTTGTTGATTAATATTGTTAATTAGCATAATACAAATAAAATTATATTAATTGTTATTTTATTGGATTTTCAATACTTTTCAAATTTCCTTTACTGAATTTTTTACGAAATTTTTGTTAATCCAAAAACATTCAATTCCAAAACTCGCTCACAGCTGATTTAATTTGCGAGCAATAATTTCAATTGATTTATTAAACAATACATAATCGATATTTATTATTCAGACATTTCAAACTCATAGTAGTTGTATATTGTCCAATCAATCATGTTTAATTAACTGATCTGTGACATTCTTATTATATTTTGTTTGTTAACAACATATTTTTTCATAATTAATTAATCTCCAATCAATTAATTTGTGATTGTAAACGGTCGCTTAATAATGATTTGTTACATAAAGAGTAATCAAAATCATACTATTATTATTTTTCATTAAATTAAAAACTTTTTTTAGCCGTGCATTGTTTTCCCTATTGTAAATTAGAAGCATTACGCTTGGTATGAATAGAGGTTATGACGATCTCTTGACTATTCAATACTGAAATATATCATAAATGAATCTGAAGTGTTCAAACAATTTTATATGGGAGCCGAGAATTCTGATTGAGTGTCACCACTTTCCCAACTATCATGAGCTTCAGTTGAATTGCCTGAATCGTTGGATATGATTTATAAAAAAATAATATCAATTGATTTTTTTCATGTTTGTGAAATCTGATGCTAGTTCAATGATAATTGCTTAAATTTATTTTCAGTATGATAAAAATATGTCACTTTTCTCTATTTTTATACAATAAAAATGATTTCTTTGAGTTCTCAAGGACTTTCATCAATTATGAAATATCCTTCTAAAGAAGTGATTGCTATTCATGTCGGCTCATCGAAATATGTTCTTCCAAAGTTGATTGCTGTTTTTATATCACCTATAATTGCAGAAAAGATCCGAGAAAATCCTGACCTGAATAAATTCGAGTTAAATATTAACGATGAACAGAAGATATTTAGACTTGTTGTTCAGCTTGCCTATGGAAATCAAGTGCAATTCGAACCTCATCAATTACCAGTCTTAGAAGCAATTGGAAAAGCATTAGGAAATCAAGAATTAGTTATACTGAGTCAGACAACTAATACCAAAACGCATGAAGACATTAATATTCAAAATGCTGTTACTAAGCTCATATCCAAGAAAAAACTTCGCGCTAAATATGATTTCATCATCGAATATATTGCATTCCACTTCTCTGATATGTCTGAAAAAGATTTAGAAAAACTTGAAATTGATGATATTCAGAAAATCGTTTCACATAGCAAGTTCAGGACAAATTCAGAAAGTTCCTTATTCAGATTTATCTTCGGTCTTTACATGGAACACAATGATGATCCAAGATATTCCGAATTATTTTCAAAAGTTCTTTTCGAAAAACTCGATGAAGAAGAAATGTCTGATTTTGTTAATAACTTCTCTTCAAATCAAATGACAGATGGTATTTGGCAAGCAATTTCTCGAAGATTAATTTTGCCCGTATCAGAACCAGAAAAAGATAATGAATCAGCAACGCAATCAAAAGCTTCAAGTAGAAAACCATCTCCACCCAACGCCCGAAACTCCACAAAGCAACCAGTAAAGATTATTGAATTTAATGGCAAAGATTTCTATAATGGATGCTTCTCTACATTACGATCAAAGAAGAAACATGTTCTACTATCTTCTTCCAGTATAAATACAGGAACAATCAGATCCATAATAAATCCATCAAATAAGACTAATTATTGGACGCAAAATCAGCCTGATAGTTGGATAAAAGTTGATTTGAAAAAGAATAAAATACATCCTACATCATATACAATAAGAGGAAGATATGATCATGATTTCAATCAACCACAGAGTTGGAACTTCGAAGGATTTGCAAAGGGTAAATGGGAAATATTAGATTCACACATTAATGAACCTCTCAGAATTAAAGAACCTAAAAACTTCAAATTATCTGTAGAAGGTAAATTTAATTCATTCAGAATTAGACAGACTGGACCAAATACTTATGGAGACCTTGATCTTGTTCTCAGTGCTTTTGAAGTTTTCGGTGAAATATATTAATATACTAGGTTTTGTTTGATATTATAAAACTTTTTGTTTATATTGATGACACTTTTGATTTTCATCATCTTTGAATTTTGTAAAGATCATAACTTAATAAATATCGTGTTGTCCATAGAAAGATTTCTGATTGGAAGTCCTTAATGAAAATTGAAAACAAACAACTATTCTATATTCAAAATATATTCGTATATCTATCTAAACTTATATTTCATAAATTTTGATAAAAATTTAAAATGATTTTAATGAAGATAAGAAATATTTCGATTTACTATCTATATTAATTATATTTTGCCGATTTAGTTTTCCTTTATCCGGCCTTTTCGGGCTGAAAATTGTAATTTTAATTGCAAAAATCTACGATTTTTCATTGTGATACAAAATTTGATCTTATATCTCTATGAGTTTGATTCTTTTTCTCTTGTTCTGAATTCAATGTTTTTAATAAAGTCCTAGAACTGCCTTCATTTGGAGTTCTTTATGCATTTCTTAACGAAAATAGTCTATTTTAGTCGAATTTGGAAGTAAATTTATACCAATTTGCTTATAACGTTTCATCTCTCTCTTTGAGTGTGTTAGTGACTATATCTATCTCATTTATGCCTAAATATACTCATGAATATCCTTTTATGATAAAATGCCATTTTAAAACCTCATAATTTGAATTAATATTTTTTTTTGTCAGAAATTATATGATTGAAGAAAATCAAGATGTTACAGAAGTAAAGCGACCTTGGTACAAGAGAGTTATATTTCCTGGGCTTGCAAAATTAGATTCAGTACAAAAAGGACTTTGGAAACCTGATTTAGCTGATTTGGAAATTTTCAGAATTCTTGCTTTAGTTGAAGGCGTAATATTTATAGTATCATTTGCAAGTGGATCACCTTTTGGGCCACTCTCATATTGGGATGGACCAATGTACGTTTACGTTGCAAGAACTTTATATAATATTCCGAAATCAGGACCAGATTCTCATCTTTTCAAGCGTCCACCATACTATTTTGCATGTCACTTACCCGGATATCCTTTAGTAATTCGATTTTTTTCAAAGATTTGTTTTAATCAGTATTGGTTAGGCGAATTACTCTCAATTTTATTCAATGCAATGGTTATAACTTATGTATTCAGACGATTGCTCACTGTTTATAACTGCGTAGAAGATCCTGTTTTCACTACAAAAGTTTCTTTATTTATACCAATCAGATTATGTCTTTACAAAGCAGTTGGCGCTAGTGATCCTCTATACATTACATTTTGCTTTCTTTCTCTTATATTTTTCAAAACAGATCAATTAATATTTTTATTATTATCGATGTGGGGAGCTTGCTACACAAGAATTGAAGGACCTTCAATTGTAGGAACTATTGGATTATGTTATTTATTACGATTAGATATTCCTCGTGCACTTTTTACAGCTCTTGGTTTTATCGCCACCCCTTCACTAATGTATTTACATCACGTTAAATTTGGAAACTACAAAGCGTATTTCGACTATAATTCTGGTCAAATGGACCTAATTAAATATCCATTGTATCATCTATTCGAAAGTTCCGGAAATTTTGAGGAATTACTTCATGCACAAAGTTTACTTGGGCTATTTTTACCATTTTTCGTCGGAACTTTGATTTTGTTTTCGATTTCTGTTCCATTTGCGATTTTTAGTACTGTTTACATTTTGTATTGTGCTTGTATCAATCATCCTGATTTAGCCAGATATTCTTTGCCAGGATTTACCTTAGCACTTCTTGTTGGATTTGATTCTGTAATTTCATCTCCAATTTTGAAGCCAAGGTTTCATTATTTCAAGATTCCTGTAGGAGTTCTTGTTCTTTTATACTTTTTGAGTGAATTAGGATCTAATAGAGCAAATGATGAGCATTTTATGAAGATTTGTGATATTATCCATCATGTTTATAATGGAACTGATAGTTTCTAACTCATTTAGTTCTATATTATTTTGTTTTGTATATAAAAATTAGTAAATTTTAGTAAATATGAATAAAATCAACTTCATTTTAATCGAGTTTAATACAAAACAAGACTGTATCATTGATTTTATTACTAGTGCTGGAATGATGCGTTAATTTACTAATTTTTAAAAATAAAGAACTTTTCAGCATAGAATATGCGAACGAACCCATTTTTCAGGCATGTGCCACTTTTACATGTGATTTTATAAGAATAATCTCTCCGATTTTTTGGTTGAAAAAACTTTCGATGAAATCAAAAAAGTGACATTTTTAAAATTTGGGTGAATGAATAACAGTTCTACATTAACCATATATGTTATTCATGAGCCTAATGGCTTTAAATATTCAATTACTGTTAAACCACACGAAAAATTATCGATTTTAAACGAAATTTTCACATATTCTCCAAAATTACAGTTTGGAGTAAAGTCAAAGATATATGATGAATCCATGGAGTTTTGTCAAGTAGATTCTCTCTTTTACGCTCATCCAGATATTAGAAGATTTTTTGCCACAGATGAAATTAGTCGACCGAAAGCAAATTATACACCTGATCAACGTACTATCATGATACTTTTAATGACATATGGAAATGTACATCCAATGCGTATGGAAGTTGAGTTAGACGCTCAAATTAGCAGTTTACTTAAATATGTTCCAGATATGAAGAACGGAGGATTCATGAAGAGAGGTCATATTCTCAAAATGGATCAAACATTTAGAGAACAAAACATAAATGACGAATGTTGGATTTATTATATTCCAGAAATCGAAGATTTCTACATTGCTCATGAAGCATATGGACTGAGCACTCAAGACAAACCTCGATGGCCAAGTAATTGGATCAAAACTATCAGTCAAGGTCCTTCCATTCTTATTGATCCAGCAATTCGTAAACGAACCACAAGGGATTTACTCAATGATAATTTCTAATCTTACGAATTCTGTTTCTCTTCATTCTCAAAAAAATCATTTTATTAATATCGCAATTTATTCGATATACATACTTATATGACCTTACCTAAGCAATACAATTTACTATTAACTTGATTTCAGACAATTACCAAAAAAAGATAAGCATTCTAATCAAGTTTACGTAATTGACTTCGGACTATCTAAACAATACATTAATCCAAAGAGGAGAAAGCATATTCCATTCAGCGACCATAAATCTTTGACAGGCACAATGAAAGGCTTCGAGCAATCAAGGCGCGATGATCTCGAGTTTCTCGGCTATGTATGGCTCTATTTACTAAGAGGTTCATTACCATGGGAAGGGCTTCCTTCCAAAACATCCAAGCAGAAATACCAAGTAATTTTGGACGTAAAAATGCAAACATCTCCTGAAGAGTTATGCTATGGTTTTCCAAATGAATTCGTAGAGTACTTCCAGAAAATACGCGAATTGGAGTTCGAAAATGAACCAGATTACGCTTCTTACAGAAAATTATTCTGTGACCATATACTTATGACTACGTCTATGATTGGACAAAGGAAACAGCACCTCCAATCAAAGTTCCTATTCGTCCTCCCATCGAAATACCTCGACAAGCGTATACACAGCCCGCAACACCAAAACACTCGCCTAGCCAGCCCGAGCAACTTCCTCCTCCGATTATTACACCGATGGTTGAAGATAGTCTACTTCCTACGCTGAATTTCAGAAATGAAGCTCATAATGAAACAGCGCTTAGAGATTCTACGAAAACAACTAATGCACTTCGCTGGAAACCAGATAGATTATACCAACCAACGCCTGTTAATGCTCCAATTCATATCAAAATTACAAAATTCCCTGTTTTTCAGTCAAGAACAAGATTACCATCGCCAAAGAAGAATAGTTCGCCAGCAAGAAAAAGAGTTAGTTATTGACTTATGGAGCCAAAGTTTGAAACTGTTATTCAAGTAGTAGGATAGGATGGGTTTAGTGACTTTTTTTGTTACATCTATATATAGACGATGCATTAAAATATATTTATTTATAAATCATTAAAAAATTAACATTAATTTTAAACATAATTTATTTTTTATTCTTACATAAATGACCCAACAAGTAAAACCAGATAAAATGGATTATCGAATTTTAGAGGATGGTGTTCCTGTTTATATTCAAAGATTTAAAGGGAAGCAATATTATAGAATCCTTAATCCTGAATACATAAAACATTTATTTAAAAAGGAAGACTGTGAATTATTAAACGTTAATGAATATGAAACCAATAAATCAAAATTGAAATATAAATATATTGGAAGTGATGAAAGATGCAAAGATAAAGATAAAGTTTATACAGTTTCATATAATGAATGGAAAACCAATAAGATAAGAAAACATTTAGGAGATTATGGGAAATGTTCTGAATTCTTTAAATCTAGTATATACGAGAGAGTAAAAGAAATTAGAAATAATTATTTTCATGAATAAAAGATTCACTACCATAATGAAATAAAAAAGATAAAAAATTTTTTAAAAAATAAACGCATTAAAAAATTAACATTAATTTTAAAATAATTTATTTTTTTATCTTTTATAAAAGAAGCTATATATAGATGATGTCAGATATTCCGCGATTAATTAAACATTGTTTAAATCCTGAATGGGTTAAACTTCAATTTAAAAATGAAGATTGTGAATTATTAAATGAATATGAAAGCCAAAATGTTGCATGCTAAGTTCGGTCAAAATGTAAACCTCTCAATTTTATCGTCGGGGGAAGTAACTCAATTCCTTCAAAATTATTCTTTAAATATTGAATTTAAAGTTATTTAATTTGGATTATAAATAAATAGGCTAATACAATATTTAAAAATGAGAAAAAATAACTTTTCAAAGAACTTTTCATAATCTCAAAGAAAATTTTTTATTCAATAATTATATAAATTAATTAACATTCATAATGAAATTGGATTTTTTTTATAAAAAATTGGTCCTACTTAACTTTTTGAGAGAATTTGGCTTTCTCGTAAACGAAAAAGGGGATTTGACGGAGTCAAATCCCCGCTCACAAAAAGTGGACTTTACATGTCAAATTTTATATGCATGTAATGTCCACTTTTATGAGTTTTAGGAAGGAATTGGAAGCCATGAGTTACTGACATTGCATCAGTAGCTCATAGCCTCCAATTCCTTCAAAAAATGGGAGAAACTTTGTCCGAATAGTTTAACATTCGGACAAAGTTTCTCCCATTTTAAGAAGGAATTGGAGGGTAAGAGATATACCATATGAATGTATATCTCTTACCCTCCAATTCCTTCTAGAAAGTGTCCAAACTTTGGGTTAATTGCAAAGTATTAACCCAAAGTTTGGACACTTTCAAGTGGAGATGGAAGGCTTTGGGGTATATATTAATACAATATACCTCAAAGCCTTCCATCTCCACTACAAATGTGAGAAACTTTGTCCGAATAGTTTAACATTCGGACAAAGTTTCTCCCATCTTTCAATGTAATTGCTACCTGTGAGGTACTGACTTGAAGTCAGTGCTTCACAGGTAGCAATATCCAAAAATTTAAAAACATTTTATCAGTTCGTTAGAGAACTAGAGCCTCCTAGGTACTGAACCAGAATCAGTGCCTAGGGGACTCTAGTGATCTATATAAATCTGAGAAACTTTGAGGAAATTGTTCGACATTTCCTCAAAGTTTCTCAGCAATTTAGCGAGGAATGTTCGTTATCGTGTAGATATTTATAATATATACATGATAACAAACATTCCCGCTAAAAGATGTAAAATCTTATAAGAAATAATTGCAAAAGAATAACAAATTGCAACAAATTTTATATGAAACTGAACCTTATGAGGTAGTGATTCAAGATCACCGCCTCATAAGATTCAGTTTCAATCTCAAGTATCTCAAAAGTAAGGCTCTATTTTTTGCCATGTAAAGTGTCACTTTTCTGTCCAAATGATAAGTTATTCAGAGAAAGTTTCCCAGCTATCAAGAGGGAATTGTTCCTTATGAGGTATATATTCATACTGTATACCTCATAAGGAACAATTCCCTCCTTAAAACGAGAAAACTTGTTCGAAATTGTTTATCATTTCGAACAAGTTTTCTCGTTTTTAATAAGAAACTAAAGGCTATGAGGCACTGATTATATATTAGTGCCTCACAGCCTTTAGTTTCTAATAGATAGCTGGGAAACTTTCTCCAAATGATAAGTTATTCAGAGAAAGTTTCCCAGCTATCAAGAGGGAATTGTTCCTTATGAGGTATATAGTTATAATGTATACCTCATAAGGAACAATTCCCTCATTAAAATCGTAGATATTTTTTACTTATTACTCATGCTTTCAAAATCACAATCCTCTGAAAAGTTATTTTTTATTAAGAATTTAGAATTTTGATAAATACCTTTTTTCAATTTGATATAATACTTATATATTTTCAAAAAGACATTTTGAAAAGATATCTCAAAAGTTCTCTGAAAACCTATTTTTGATTAATTTTGAGAAATATCCGTATTAAATTAATCACTAAATTCATTCAACACTACTTTAATTTTTAAATTCAAAAAATTATATGTGCTTCTTAAAATGTCTCACAAAAATTTTATTATAAAATTATATACAATATTAAAAATCCCACAACATTTTTTACTTTACATAATCGTACTTCCTCGACGATTAATTTTCCCTCAATTCCTATCGTTGACCGAACTTAGCATGCAACAAAAATAAGCTAATGAGGTATAAATATAATGATAAAGAATATTTAATTTCATGGAATCAATGGAGTCATAATCAAAGACCTCATAAACGAGAAGAAGAAATTGAAAATAATGAAATGGAAATCATTGATGACATTAAAGAGGATGGAATTCCTAAATTTTGTAGAAAAACCTTTAGAACTAAGTTAGGAGCATATAAACGTAGAGTATTAAATCCTGAATACATAAAACATTTATTTAAAAAGGAAGACTGTGAATTATTAAACGTTAATGAATATGAAAATGTTAAATCAAAACTGAGATATAAATATATTGGAAGTGATGAAAGATGCAAAGATAAAGATAAAGTTTATACAGTTTCATATAATAACTGGCACACGTTAGGGATAAGAAAACATTTAGGAGATTATGGTAAAAGTTCCGAATTCTTCAAATCTAGTATGTACGAGAGAGTAAAAGAAATTAGAAATAATTATTTTCATGAATGAAAGATTCACTACCATAATGAAATAAAAAATAAAATTTTTTTAAAAAATAAACTTTAAAAATTCATGTCTCAGAATCAACATAGAACTTTAAGAAACTAATGATTATTTGAATTTATGAAATCAATTATTTGATTCATTCTTTCTTCAATCTCTTCTATTCTTTTTGTTAAATCATCTATTTTCATTAATGAGGTGATTCTTGATTGAGGAATAGATTTCAAACTAACCACTCCTTTTATTTTTGAAATTTTGAATCCATCAACTTTAAACATTTTATTCAATTTACACGTTGTCAATTCTTCAAATAATTTTTTATTATTAGCATAATAGTCATTAAATTCTTCAACAGATGAAAAAATTTTTATTTCAGTAATTGGTTTAACAACGTTTATTTTTTGTTGAACATTTTCACTTTCATTTATTTCTTCCTCCTTTGTTTCATTTATTTTTAAAATCGGTTTCATTTATTATAAAATAAAAATTAAAATATAAGTGATGAAATATATTTTTTAATTAATATTAAATCAGAAATGGCGGCAGGGTTCTTTAAAAAATTATGGGATGGAATTAAGAAAGCTGCAGGTTGGGTTTATAAAAAGGTTATTAAACCTGTTGCAAACTTTTTGGCACCAGTAGCGAAAACGGCAGGAACTATCATAGGTGGAGTATTAGGTACTAAAGCAGGTAATCCGGCGATGGGAGCACAAGCAGGTAACGCAGTTGGTGGAATTGCTGAAGGAATACTTAATAAAATAGGGGGTAGATAGTGGAAAAATAAATAAATATTATTTTTATCTTAGTATCGGTTGTAGTCTTTGATAAACTTTTTCTCCTTTATTTAAAATTTCTCTTATTGGGGCAGCTTTTGGCGTTATTGATTCAGCAACGTCACTAATTGCTTCTTTATTCTTAAATATCCAATTTGCTCCTTTCTTCATTGTTTCCCAAACTTTATGCGCTCCTCTTTTTACTTTATCCCACAGTTTCTTAAAGAATCCTGCAGCCATAGTTGATTATTTCATTAAAATTAAAAATTCATTTTCATCTTTTAATTTTGATTTTTTTATTAATAATAAATGACGACTAACTATTTAGTGCCAAACACCAAACCGATTAATGGAAATGTGTTTCATTCATTCGAAAAGATAAATGAAATATTCGCAAAGAATGATGGAAGAAGATATTATAGAGAACTTGAAAGTTCATGCTATGACTCTGATGCTCCATATTTTGATGATAAACAAACTCATTTAAGAATTACAAATCCGGCTCATGATGTGAACCAATTAGGTGACACATATATTAAACGCAAAGTTAAAGCAACTCTAGTTTCAAATAAAGCTTTCACATGTGATGCCGCTTTTAAATGCATGCGTTTATTCGTTGGTTACAAATCATCAAATCAAAGCTTTAAACAATTAGAAGTAGAAACGAAAGAGGTGATGCCGGTTATCTTCAGATGGATTGCGCCCGTGAATCTTTCGCATTTGCAACATATAAACCAAAATCAGAAAGGAAAGTTAAAAAGTTTGTTCATTCGTTATATAATAATGTTCAAAAATATGATAACTCAGTATGTGGTAAATATATTGACCCTTCAGAAGTTTTCAAGAAAGCAAATGAAGAAGTTGATATCACTTTTGATATGATTATTCCGGTAAATGATTTGTTAGCATTTCAGGCGTTCGATGATTATCCTAAATCATTTGGTGAAATCATTCTTAAATATTATGTTTTCAGGGATACTTTAGTATTTTGTCAGGTTGACCCGTTAAGAGTTGCTGATTTACAAAATTACGTTTATGAAAAGATAACTGATGAAAATTATGAAAAGATTATGAATCATGTTTATAAATATGATCGCAAATTCCAACAAATCGGACTTCCTGCCAAATTAATTACAAGCTTAGCCGCTACATCTGCTGACGCAACAGTTGAAGACGTTATTATTTCATGCACAAAGATGGAAGTTTTAGAGGATAAATGCATTACACCAGGATACGGTTTAATTGAAGAATCAGTTAAAGCAATACCACGTTTATTTAGTAAGGAAGATCCATTCATGATTCCAGCTCAACATATTGACGTTCGTTCACTAAATGGAGGTTGCATCACTCCTGAAGGTATCAGCTCAGATTTCTCATACGCTCTTCATAATGTTACAGATGTTGTGTTAGCATTTCCGAAGAATGCAATGCAAAGAACAGTTTTAGAAAATCCAATGCTTCGAGGTCTTCAGGTCACTATAGATTCCAGAAACTTCCCGATCAAGCGATGACCACAGTGGGTGACATATTCTTTACACGTATGCTTCAAGCTTCTGATTTAGATGGAGTGAATGAATGCACGAAGAATACGAGGACTCATTAACTAGACCACTGAATGATGATGATGGCACGCCATTAGCTAGAACATGGAAAGACCAAACTTCATTCTTATGCACTATTCCAGTTCAACGTGATGGAGCGGGTATATTCTTTGATGGATTAGAAACTTTTAACTCACAAGTTACAGTACAAGTGAAAGCATTCATTTCAGGGTGAAAATGACACTTACTGTTCAAAGGTGACAAATCCTCCTCAGGTTTGGTTTACTAGGACTACATATTGGACATGGACACCGGATGAAGGTTTGAAATATCATCCAACAGGTACACACCGCAGTATAGAAGTTCATATGATGAAATATTGATGAATAGAATGTTTAAAATTATAAATTTATTTTTGATTAAATGGATTTAAATTCATTCACCCCTTATGAAGAATTAGCGGGAGTATATAATACATACGTAGATGATATGATTAATGAAGCATTGAGTGATAATAGAAATGCTCTATCTAAGGAAAAATTAATGAAAATTCCATATTCTGAATGTTACTTAAATTCAATCACTGCAGCAATTGGTAAACAGAATAAAGGTAAAACATTAACGATATTAAAACAAATTATCATTATTGCTAACACTTCCCCCTATTCCCATGTGTTAATTTATATCAACCCGTTCAGGTTCACCTTCAGATAATACATTTGAATCTTTAAAGCATTTAATCAAAATTCCAATTATTTATTTATCACAAGAAGAAGCAGAAGATTATTTAAAAAACTTTTTAATGTATAAAGTTATATAATACAATCAAGAAGCAAGGATTAGAGGATAAAATTATTGATAAACAACGGGATGAATTATTTGAAACACTTTCTATTTCAAATTTTGATAGAGAATTTTTGCATTCACTCATTTTTTCTAGATGATGCGGTGAAATCAAAACTAATAACAAATGAGAAATCATATTTTAATCAGTTATTAACTCAATGTCGACACATTCAGTGTTCATTCTTCATGGCTGTTCAATACTTCAAAGCATTAAGCACAAACATTAAATCAAATCTATCAACACTTTTCATTTTCAGTGGGTTTAGTCGTCAACAGTTGAACGTTATGCTTTATCAAGTGAATTTACCAATGAGCATTAATGAACTTTACACACAATATCAGCAATTAGGTGAACATGGAAAAATAATAGTTGATTTAAATAAAGGAGGTGTTAAATTTGATTAACTTTTTAATTAATTTTTATTTTTATTTATAATTAAACATGACAGAAATAGCAAATCTTCTACAGGTTCCATTAAAACAAGGGACAAACAACAGGGGTGCATATAATAGAACTATGAAAGTTCCAGACGGAATGAAAGAATTAGTTCATATTGTTGCTGGTCTTCAAAAGATGTTAAACAAATGAGAAACGTTTTAACATTACCAGAAGCTCAAGCATATGCCAAACGTCATGGTCCAAATTGGGAAGCACACGAAGCAGACATTACGGGTCCAAATGGAAAACCTGATGGTATAAATGAAGTTTTCGTTACTGATGGTCAAGGTAATATTAAAGTCATAAATGGATATAAATTAACTATATCTGATTATCCTAAACGTAAAGCATATAATGAATGTTATCCTATGCAATTTGATGAAAATGGAAAAGCTGTTAAACAATACATTGGAGAAGGTGAACATGGTCCAATTAATTCATACCGTCATAATCCATATTCTTATTTCAATGAAGAATTAAACGCTATTGAAGAGGGACCGGATGGATTACCACGATATGTTAATCAGTTTGATGGTCAATATACAAATTTGAGACCTGAAATTCCAGCTAAGAAATTCTTTAAAGTTGCTTTATTCGATCCAGTGTTCAATGAACAGAAAGAAGCAATGAAAGCAGAATTTAAACCAATTCAAGTGGCAAGAATTTCTTCATCTTCACTTTCAGAAGCGTTCAAGGAATTGATAAAGAAACCACTTTATTCTCAACAAGGTTATAACTTTGATTTAATTAAAGAAAGTGATAGACGTAAATTGGAAAAATCAGATGGTTTTAAGAATGCATGTAATGAAATGATTAAAGATATTGTAAATGATAAAATAAGACTGGAAGAAACTCAAATCATTATCAATAACATAATTGGTGCAGTTACAAAGAAAGTATAAGCAAACAATGATGAACCTTGGGATATTACCGTAACAACTAAATAAAACTTTAAATATATTTTTCTTTTTTTATTCAATTATAAATGAGAAGACGTTTCACAAGTCAAAAGAATACAAACGCAAAAGCAGAGATTACGGTTGGTTATAACGTAAATGATGATAAATCACGAATTATTCAAAATGTTAAAGTTAATGTTAGCCCTGAATTAACAAAGTCAGCAACTCAACCAAATTTATTAACTCGTGACTTACCAAAGAATGAGGAGAATGGAGACCCAATCATTTTATCTGAACCCGGTAAAGAACCCGTTGAAATCCCCACATATCCAACATACCCCCCACCTCTTTCATCAAACATCGAGAACCCAGGAATCTACGATTACAGTCGCAATGCGCCATATAAAATAGACATTAATTCTGAATTAATGAAAATTTACCGTGATATAATAATTAATAATTATGATTCAATAATAAATTTAATTGATCAATCCGGTTTAATTATTTTACCTTATGAATCATTAATTCACATTATCGCCATTCTTTGTGATGTTCAGGATTCAGACGTTAAGATTCAATTTTTCATAGATGATGAGGTTTCATGCTGCGGAACAGTTGCAAAAATAAATCCTATAAAGGATATTAGCACAATTAAGATATCAAAGAACGGAACAACAACTGAACTTCATTTAACTTATAATGATATTTATAATAAAATAGTTGATGAATATAAAATATCACTTGAAAAATTCTTTGTTAAGGCCATTTAATATTCAAGCATTAACATTATTGAATAATAATCCTTTGAATCATAATCAATAATAATTGACCTTTCACCAGTTTCTATCGTTTGTTTTATTTCTTTTTGTTCCCCACTATCTGGATCGGTCATTGTAATTGTTTTTGTTATAGTATCAGCTTTATCTTTAACTTCAATCTTTTTTCCATCAGGATATTTAAACCAAAATTCCAAAAATTCGATATTGTCAATCTGTTCATATTTTAATCTATCAATTACATTTTTAATACCATCTGAAAATCTTATGAAATGGTCATTATATGGGTTTGATTGAACTAAATTTGAATGAAGTGAAATATAACCCGATGATGAATATGACATTGACTCATATTTTCTGAAAACACTAAAATTTATAACATGAATGAATTTCTTATTCGTTGAATTTATGAATTCTTGAGGTAATCTTATTCTAGTTTATTTATCACTGGAAAATAACGCTTTACCATATTTTTAATCGTAATAAAAAATGTCAATTATCAATTATTTTCGAATAATAGCTGTGAATTAAATTTAACAGTTAGCGGAATTTATAATGTTACTCTCGTTTCTGTGAGTGGTAAATTTAATCCCATTCTTTTAGACCCTTCAGATTATATATCATTTATTAAAGATGACCTTGAAAAAACATATGATATGTATATAAATAATGTGATAACGAAATGGGATATTAACATGATTTTAAGTTATTTAAATGAATCATTTATCATATGGTATGAAGAAAATTTTAAATCAAAACCTGATAAACTTTTGAACTTGATGAAATAAATAACCTTATTAAATTCCCGCTGAAAATTAAATTTTGTACCCCTCATCTTCGTTCATTGTTGGGATATTAAATTTTGAAAAAGATGTTGGGGATGTTTTGTATTCTGACACTGGTTCCAATTTCATTTTAATCAAATGTGATAAAGTTAATACCCCAATGAGATTTTCACATCAAACATTAGACCCTAACTCTTACCCATCAATACAAAACATTTTATCCATCAACTTAAACATATTTTCTTTATCATATCCGTTTCAATTATCCGGGAATTCATTTATTCTTCATTCAAAAGATTTATCAAATATTAAATTTAGAATAACTGACCTATTTGATTGTGATTTAGAATTCATGAATGAAATATTATGGCAATTTCAAATAGAAAAAATAGGTGATGAGATAACGGATTAAATATTTATTTTTAAATCATAATAAATGATTAAACAACAGCAACCACAACAACTTAAGGCACAGACCATTACATACGCCATATATGCATATAATTCAAAGACGGCAGAACAAACGCAAATGTTGAAATATGGAGATTTGGAGATAGTATTGAAAAATGACCATTTCGAATTCGTTTGCAAAGGTGGTGCAGTGATATCAAATATAAAAGAAATTTTATTTATGAATTCAAAAATTAAAGGAATAACGGATGATATAACATCAATTCCACCAGAAGAACAAAGATATTACGCATTAAATGCATTTCCTAAAGTTTTGAAGATTGGAAGATTTAATTTAAATGAGGAATTCATAAAAGGTTTCCTAAATGACATAATGAAGAAAGCAGATAAGGAATATGTCAACAGTGAGTTAGAGGAGAAAGCAGATAAGGGACTTGTGGCTAGTGAATTAATGAAGAAGGCAGATAAGGAATATGTTAATGAAAAAGATAATGAAATTATAGAAAGGGTTGAATGGTATCATGAACGGACATCGAAGATTCTTAAAACTAAAGCTGATACAGGATGGGTTTCAGAATGTTTAGACCTTAAAGCAGATAAAACTTATGTTAACAATGAGTTAGAGAAGAAGGCAGATAAGAACCATACACATACAAGTTTTACAACTGTTGCTATAGAAAGTATTGAAGGAACGGTTGAAGAAACTGGTGGGGATGCATTATATTGTAAACCTCCTAACTTTCCACAAGGTTTAACATCGGATGACGACATAACGACGATGAGAAACATTAGATGTAAAGATGTTTATGTCATGAAGGATGAACATAATATTAAATTCACTGCTCAAGATTTATATGACAAGAAAGCAGACAAAAAAGAGCTTCAAACATTAAAGACAGAAATACTTCAAACATTATATCCTATAGGCTCTATTTATACGTCAATGAACTCAACAAATCCAGCAACAGTTCTGGGTTTCGGTACGTGGGAACAAATAGTTGACAGGTTTTTGTATTGTGCAAACTCTTCAAAGGAAACAGGAGGAAGTAAAACGATTTCAGGTGAAAATTTACCTGCACATAGTCACTACATAGATTTAAGTACATCTCAAGCGGGTTGGCATAAGCATAGATATTGGGATTGGTCAGCAATGATAAAAGGTAAAGGATATGATGTTAAAGACAACGTTAAGTTTGCTATAGATTGTTACTGGAGTAACACTGAGGGAGGAGGAAACCATACACATCGCGTTTCAGGATATACACAAACAACGGGACAAAGTAAAGATTACATGCCGCCATTTATGACAGTTTACGCATGGTATAGAGTTCAATGAATGAACTAAATATATTTTATGTCTGTAATTAATTAGGTAATGAAGTAATGGATGAACTGCAGAAATAAATGGTTACGTTAATGGTTACGTTAATGGTTACGTTAATGGTTACGTTAATGGTTACGTTAATGTTTTCAGGTCATTCAAAAATAATTAATTATTGAATAACCTGAAGGTGTCACCAGGTCACCAGGTCACCAGGTCATTTAACTTCTCTGAAAAAATGTGACAACATGACATTTTGACAACAACACAGGAAATAAATGTTTACGTTAATGTTTTGTCATGATCATTCATCGTTTCTTTGTCATGACTTCTTCATCGTAATGAATGTATATTCTTTGTCAAACATGAGCGTAAATGATTTGTCATGATTTCTTCATCGTAAATGATTTGTCATGATTTCTTCGTAATGAGCGTAAATGATCCAAAAATAATGTTTAGGTGAAGAGGTGAGATTTCACCTGTTTTTTCACCTAATTTTTCACCTCAGGAATTTTCATGAATTTTCCCGAAATAAAAAATAAAGTTAGTTTTATTTTTATTTTTTTTATTTTGTATGTAAAGATATGATTTCAACAATCGGCACAACAGCAATACAAGCCGCGAACGGCGGGACTCTGTCCACAACTACAGCACCAAACTCGTTAGTCATGAATCCAACATCTATGTTAGTAGAGATGAAAAGCTTCATTCCTTCTTCATATACTTTCGAAACAAAAATCCAGAAGATAAAGCAAGAACTTTTAACAAGTAATTTAGACTGTAGTGCGAAAGATGAAACAAATGAACAGTATCTTTATGAAATGCAGGACATTATTGACCATTTACCTAAACTACCTGAAATCCAACAACAAAAACTAACTATTCCTGAATTCGACGAAATTGAAGTCAAAACAACTGACTCAGTCGAAATAAAGAAGTTCATACGTAAAGTAAATTATGAATTCCTTGGTTTTCATTGCAACCATAAAGTTATGGACAAAGATTGCGACATGGTTTATAAGAATGTTTCTGACATATATAAATCTGAAGAATTTAAGACCTACGATAACTTTGTTTCATTAGTTGCAAAATGTGTTTGGGAAATAAGAGATAAAGATAGAAGAGGCAAAGTATGGAACGAACAAATAAGACCCGCTATGTTTGAGATGAAGAGAGCAATTGACGCCTTAGTTGTTTTAGCAGGTCAAATTTCAATGTATAACGCAAAAAATGAACCCGCAATGTTCAAAATGTAAGGCAGCAATGAGGAGATATAACTACTCCGTCAAAGAGATAGAAAGAATGAGAAACGACTATGCAGATTTAAAGAAAGAAGTAGAAAACCCAGCAGAAAATAAAATGGATATGATGACATTTCTGAACAAAAATTATCCAACTGCTGACGATTTCCTTCTATCTGACGTCAAGAAGAAATATAAAGAAACCTTCGGCATTGTTAAAACATTCGATGTACTAAAAGAAGAAATAGAAGCTACGAAATTGTTTAGGATTTCAAATATACATCGTACAATTCATGTAAAACGCTTGTGAAAAAACTGGGGTGAAAAATTAGGTGAAAAAACAGGTGAAATCTCACCTCTTCACCTAAATTATATTTTTGTTCAAAGCTTCCACGAGAGAAAAGATTCCTCATTCGCTAAGGATTCCAAAAATGAAAAAATCATTGATTTCGGCTGAGAAAAACAGCAAAACCCTTCTTCCACGGGAACAAAGAAATAAAGAAGAAATAAAGAAGAAATAAAGTAAATTTTTTATTTATTCCCGTGGAAGATAGAGCACTTTTATGACACTTTTTATTCACGACAAACAAGACAAACAAAGAAAATAAGAAAATACGGCGCCGTCGCGGTTCGAACCACAGACCCTAACCCCCCATAACACCACCTTAGACCACTGTGCTACGTAGCCTGTCGACATAAGATTTTATAAATTGCATATTTGACGTAAATTTATTTCCCAGTTATTCAAAAATAATTAATTATTGAATAACCTAAAAACATTAACGATAAAATAAGTGATAACAAATTTTTATTTTTATCATAAATGAATACCCCACAAGCTCAAAATTTACCACGAATCATAACAAGGGAGGAAATGATAAAAATGATGCAAGAACATGTTAAAAATAACAAACCACTAAAATTGAGAAAATGTGGTTATGCAGTAATGATGGAAAGAGAGATGTTGTCGAAGAGGAATAAAAATTAAATTTGGATTGAGTTTAAAAATTCATCTTTATTAAATTCATCTCTTCCAATCAATTTATTTATTCTATTAAATTCTTTTATTTTTGCTTCACTCAGTTTAATGATTGAACGGTAAGTTTCTAATTTTTCGATTATTTCTTTATCGTTTTCAACCCCACTGCATTGCGACTTCTTTTTGTAATAGCATATTTTTGATTTAATTCTGTTTAGTTTCTTTTTATATTCATTGTCTGGACTCTTGACTGCTTCGTTGTCACTCATTTCTTACGAAATAAAAAAATTAAATATTATTTAAATATAATGGAGTAATAAAATAAATCGGAATTTCTATTAATTTATTGTCAACTTCAACTAATGCATTGCCGTTAATATATCTAACAAATTCAGCTATTGTGTCAAATCTTCGTCTTCTTTTTGTCATTGATTTATCAGTTTTTCCATAATCGAGATGAATTAAAACTTTATTCCCTTGTTTAAAATTCATGAGCCCCGAATTAATTTGTTCACGTTTAACATCATTTAACCTTTCCATTTGCTTTCTAATATATTCCCATTCTTTTGAAATATCATTTTTCATTTCCACTGGTTTCATGTTTATAGTTCTATGCCATGTATTATTGTAATAATATACTAACTGCTGTATGATGGAGTCATGATTTCCATCCCAGTATATCTGACCGTTAACCCCTAACGCATCTCTAAGAGTTCTCATTACCGCATCAACTATTTTATTATGAAACGTATATGGAGAGGATGAAAAGTAAAAATTAATTTGTGGGAAATAATGAGCCATAGCTGCCTGAAATCCTTTATCACCATCACCCCTTATATTATCTACTCTTTCATGATCTAGTAAGTATTGTATAGCTCTTCTTGTTTCCTGTTCTGTTTTCCCTTTCACCGGAATGCAATATAAATATCTGGTGTTAATGTTAATGGCAAATAAATAAGTAACGTTTCCTTTTGAATATTCCAGATGATCGATTTCGTATGAATATGGATATAGTGCAAATGAAGGGCGACTAAATTTTTCCTTTAACGGTTGAATTTTTGGGTCAATTGGTTTATTTAATATCTTGAAATCCCTTTTAAAATCTTTTTGCTTCTTTAATGTTTGAAATGGATATAATAAAGTGAATGATGAAGGATTAACTGAAGGAGGAGGAGGTACTACTGTTGGAGGTTTTGGTGTTGTAAGTGGTTTAATTTTATCTGCTTTGATTTTGGATTTCATTCCTCCTTTCATTAATTCTGGATGTATTCTATTCATTTGTTTTAAATATGCTGTATATAAAGGTTTGATATACTTTCCCGCTTCGAGTTTATGTTGAAGGATGAATTCCAAAAGTTGATCTTCATTTAAAAGTCGGGCTGAATATGGTTTAACTAATGAATCATAAATTAAAGCTTGTGCATCATTTATGGTCTGAAGGACCTGGGCGTTTTGTACCATTTGTTTTTGTTCCTTTGGCTTTTGCGGCTCGGGATTATATAATTTATATAATTCATCAATATCTTCTTCTGTTAATACTTTATTTTTGAAATCTTTCAACTGTTTAAGCTGTGATTTAGTTTTTCCCTTTGTATATTCATTATTTTTAATTTTGTCTTTAATTTTAGAAATTATTTTATCATGATATTTCAAAATTTCATTTTTATAATACGAATAATAATAATCCATATCATCACCCGTTATATTTTTATTATATTTTTGGAGATATGCTTTTAAATCATAATAATCAAGAAAATTTTGATAAATACTAAATCATCAATTAAAATTTTTAAATCTGTGTTATCCATTTATATAAAAATAAAATAAATGTTTTAAGGGTGCCCACCTCTTTGAATCATAGTACAAAACCATTATTAACGGTTCCTTTTGTCTCTTCTGTGGCATTTCATTAAATAAATGGCATACAACATCCATTTTCACAACATACAGCCTTAGTGTGTGCTCCTGTTAATGCAGTCTTACCAATTGTTAAGCGAGTCATTGACCCGTTTTTAAGTTGTAAATTAATATTCTGACCATCAAATATCACTTTATCATTTATTATATCCAAATAATTTTTAGGTGTTAATTGTTTATTTTGTCGTAAACTAACACCTTTCATTTTTTGTGCAATCTTTTTAAAATCACCTCCATCAATTGAACCGTTGAATGAAGTATAACACTTAGGGCATAAAGCAACCATGTTATCACCTTGTTTCTCAATTGCTAAACCCAATAACTTCTTCTCATGTGCTTTTTCTTCAGCTTTATTCTTTAATTTAGGTTTAAATTTCTCATCAAAACAGAAGAAATCAAAAGGTGCGAATTTGTAAATGTTTTTATCATAAAATTGTTTATGGTTACAATTGCTTGAAATGCTTGAGTGTTAGGAAGACTTGGATCGCCAGCAATAGCCCAATAAGATGAATCAGTATCACCTTCAATGAAATGAAAACGATTAACA